TGACTCTGCTGTCAATTAAGTATGCGACCTAATCCTGGCTGAGTCACAACATTTTGGGGCTCCAGCTTCCTCATCTGTAAAATTTATAACTTGTGGATGAAGTTCTGGACTTGGCAAGTGTTTAAGATCCACAGCGGGATGTAAAACAGAGACGGTCTGTAAATGCAATCTGCAGAAGTGTTACAGAGTATTAATCCTCTCTTTGTAAAATGATAGGCAATGATATTTTTATGACTTTGTCAAGATTGATGATGTAATTCTTCCCCTATATAGGTCATGAAAGAAACTAGCGAGTCCTAAATTGTGCTTTGGTTTTCTTAAGAAGTCAGTCCCTTGTCAGTTTCTCTCAGCGTGCTTATGGGAAGTTAATTTTGTTTTAAAATTGGATTGATAAAGGCATACTTGTATTGGGCTTCAGAAAGTAGAGATTTAGCATTCAGTTTACTCGAATACATGGGCCTTTATGGCTATGTGGATTCTCAAGGAAGTTTAGAAACGATGAGCTAAATTTCATGAACTGAAGATCCCAACTGAATAATCCATCTGGAAACTCTTGCAACTTTGATTTGGGGCCAGTCCTTCCAGCAATGTAAATCTTAATGCAAATGCAAATGTCTAAGGCTCAGAAGCCTTTATGTTGAACAAAAATGTGACATAACGGGCCAATGTAGACAAAGAGCAAAATTACGTTTACAATTCACCGAATAAAGGATTCTTCCCATTTGATTCAGACCCTAAAATAAACTGATGTGTTTGAGAGAAAGATAAAATGTCACCTACCTTGCTTCAAGTTCCCAGAAAGTAGTATCATCGGACAGCCATGGGTTAGAAGGGTCAGGTGGCACAAGAAACGGGTCGTATTCTAAATACTGTTCTGTATAACTTAGCAGACTAGGGAGAAAAAACATTTCCATCTTTCTGAGTTTTCCGGCTGAGGTCGCACCCAGTCCAAAGTAAAAGACACGATATAAAAATGTCCGGGCAAGCAATTCTTGCAGCTTAAACAATGAAATCCAACGGCAATGTTCACGTTTCAGAAACTTACATGCGACAACCTATCAGGCTTCTTGGCAGACAAATGTGGCTAAGATTTGGGGGAGATTCCATCTCTCCCATCCCATGCCTCAGCCATTAAGTCAAAATCTCCCCATTAAAATGAAGCATTCTAGAAAGACGCCAGTGTCTCAAGGGTGACACTAGGGTCAGTTCCACCCACAGCAGAACTGATTTTAACAAACTTGGAAAAGGATTAAAAAGGAATTTTTGTCAGAAGTTTTTATAGGAATTATGTAAAAAGGGAACCACTGACAATTTTTTTTTATTTGTAATTTTTTAAAAAAAGAAGGAGGAAGGGAAAGAAGTCGCAGAGGTGGGAAGAGGGAAAGACATTTCGGGCATTGGCAATGCCTAAAAGTGCAGAATACAAATGTCATCAAAAACAGATTGGAAATGAGGAAAAGGAAAATAATCTGAAATCTGAGTTTAACTCAAATTCCAAACTCAGGCAATAACAGAGTAGATTGAGCATATTAAAACAAATTCATGTAACCATATATATGCTAGTAATATTGATTTGATCAACATATCTCAATGTTGAACCCCCCCAAATTTGCATAATCAATTTTGATTCAATAAAAAAAAAAAGCAAAGACAAAAACAAAAAAACCCTAAATTCACAGAGAGGCTCCAAGTTGCCGAAAGGTAACCAGTGAATTGAAAATTTCATTTCTCCCAGCAGAAGGGAAGAAATTCAACTGTGCAGCGTTTTCCTCTATATCTGATTCTTGGTTGCAAAA